TTCTTGTAATTGTTTGAACTATTGAGAGTTTAAAATGTTGAGATACTGACAAATTAAAGTTTAATTTTCTAGTTTTAGTATATCTCTGTTGCCGATCGTCTTTTCGCTAAAAATATAAAATATAAAACACCCTACTCACCAATATTTTAGAAGTTTGAGTCATGTAAAACAATTTATTAATTTTAAGTGGCCTAATGAGATTAATGCTAAGGCTGATGCTAATGCTAATGCTAAGGCCAACGGTACCACTAACGCCAGCTACGTTATAACACTATAGCTTATAACGTTATAACGCTACGGCTGGAGGGTCAGGCTCCCACTGGTACCTGGATCTCACACGCAAACTGCGCAGAGTAAATGTAGTGGAAGGCCTCCTCCATGGTCTCGCCCAGCGCCACCACACCATGGTTCCTCAGCACCAGCACCTGCAAAGTGGATACGTCCAGACCACCAGTTGAGGATGCGGAAAGGGGAGCCCATAAAAGAGCACAGGGGTGGGGCGGGGGGGGTCGTCGCTCACCTTGGCAGACGGGCCCAGGGCTTTCTGCAGCTCGATCCTCTCCTCCTGCTCATCCAGAGATCCCTGGTAGTTGTAGTAGGCGATGTCCCCGAGGATGAGGGCCTCCTGGGAGATGGGCAGGATGCCGCACTTCATGGAGGAGACCTGCAGCCGGGGGGGGGGGGCATGGAGAACGAGGAGTCAGGACTGGGGGTGCAGAAACGCCCAAAGCCACAATGAGCTGAACGAGAGAGGCAGAGCGCAGCAGGCTGTTACTGAAATGGACCCCCATCTGGGGTGTTTTACTGGCTCCGGTTAACTTCAATCTGGAAACACCCCCTCCACTCCCCAATCCCCCGCCGGGCACTCACAGCGGCGGTGGCGGGGGTGTGCACGTGGACCACGCAGCGCACGTCGGGCCGCACGGAGTAGATGGCAGCGTGGGGGCTGAAGCCGGGCTGGTCGATGCGCAGGTTGGTGGTGCCCTGCTCCACAACATCACCCAGGATGTTCACCTTCACCTGGGGACAGAGGAACGTGGAGGTGCGGCTTCCATGGAGAAGAGGGACGCCCTGCGTACCGCCGCTGAACGACCGCGTGCATAGCGACACACAGAACAGACACGTCTTCAGAAACATGCAGCTTGGACAAGCTAACAACTATTAGCATAACTACTACTACTATTAATGGTGTCAGGATTTCACATCTGCAATCTCCATCATCAGGGAGGTTCCTCTTAACACATCTGAGAGCGATTTGCGTGGATTCTTCTCATAAATACATCTCCACGCCACAACTACACTCTTCCCCCCACATCTGTTAGACCCTCCCCCCCACCCCATGTGTAATGACGTTAAGTATGATCACTGAACAAACAAGCGAAGCCTGCCAGAGCCAATCAAATCTTCCCGAGTCACATGTTCAGATTCCCCCAAGCACAAATACTTCTATGCCGTCTGGACGACGAGAAAAACAAAGCCATGGGATGGTAATTGTTGGATGGAAAATACCAGAACTTGCCCTTGATCCGTCCGTCAACGAGCGGAGCGGGTCAGTGCCCCGGGTCAGCTTGTTGCCAGTGGTAACGTCAGCCCATCCAGCGGTTGTGTGTGTCACTGCCAAACTCCGTAAACAGCCCATCGCCTACGCTGATGGCATTTCCTCTAAAAACCAATGCCCCCCCACCCCCAAAAACCCCCTTGCCCCAGTGACAACATGCGTGGTAATTAAATTAAACTGCCACTCCCATGAACTGATTACTCAATGGTTCACAGAACGGCTTCAGTGGGGCCCTGAATCTAAAACAAGAGGGCCTTACTGGAAAATACCGCGCTGGGGAGGACGGGCCGGGGTAAAAAACAGATTAGAGGGCCCCCCACACCATGCTGCCGATACGTGGGGGGGCAGCACGCAACGTCTGCCGGAAGCACGTGGGAATATGCCAGAAACAACTGGAAGGAGGTGGAGCCTAGTGCTGCAGCAATGTGGGGGGGGGGGGGCGCTCTCATCCAACCAAGAAGTCAACAGCAATTGAAAATGGCATTAAATAAAATGCTATGTTATGATACAGTACAGTATGACATGGATCCCGCTGTAATGCGATTCGGACGGCCTGGCTCCCTGCCGTCACGTTTCCTCTTGACAAAGCAGGAAGTTTCCCTCTTCTATCAGCAGTCCCCCATTTCCCCCTGGCTGGCAGGTAGGTCCACATGCAATGCTGGGGGATTTGGGCAGCGCTCGGGGCGCCGCACCCACTAAGCCATTTAGGGATTAATCCCATTCTGAGGCAAATAGCAGATCAAACATCTTTAAACGACCTGCAAGGGAGGCTGAACTGAGCCCCAGACGGTCTGACTGCATTACAGAGGCAATTAAACAAACTTCCTCTCATCACGCCCTAAGGAACAACTTGAGGCAAAACTGGAGAGTGATTTATTCATGCGGAGCCTGTGGATTGGTCGGCGTTGGCTGGCCTGATAGCTCCCGGAGGGGGGGGGTGATTTTTCGCACCAGGGGCACCATCAGCCTGGAAACCGCTGAACCGCGACGGAAAGCGGCACCTGGACGCGCGGGAGCTGCCCGCACATGCCGGGGGTCACGCCACGTATCAGGAACCTGCTCACGGTCAGGCGAGGCCCAGAGAAGCCTCAGAGAGGAGCGTGACAGAAACATCGTTATGCAGGAGAAAATGCAGGGAGACAAAAAGGATCGCATGCCTACCGGTTACTGCGGCGACGCCAGCATGCGACGCCAGCATGCGACGCTGCCGCTTGCCAAGGCTCGCATTTCAGTTAATCCAATTCTCTGTTTATATATTTTGGATAAACAGGTTGCTGATTAACTAACCGGAAAGCCGACGCCCCTCTGCGGGCTAACACCGACACCCAGACCGGTGCCCCCCCCACCTCTGCGGGCTAACACCGACACCCAGACCGGCGCCCCTCTGCGGGCTAACACCGACACCCAGACCGGCGCCCCTCTGCGGGCTAACACCGACACCCAGACCGGCGCCCCTCTGCGGGCTAACACCAACACCCAGACCGGCACCCCTCTGCGGGCTAACACTGACACCCAGACCGGTGCCCCCCCCACCTCTGCGGGCTAACACCGACACCCAGACCGGCGCCCCTTTGCGGGCTAACACCGACACCCAGACCGGCGCCCCCCTGCGGGCTAACACCGACACCCAGACCGGTGCCCCCCCTGCCCTCTGCGGGCTAACACTGACACCCAGACCGGCGCCCCCCCTCACCCTCTGCGGGCTAACACCGACACCCAGACCGGCGCCCCTCTGCGAGCCAAAACGAGCGCTTACCAGGTTGGCTGCCGTGGCTTCTGCGAAGGACAGGCCCCGGGGGATGATCAGGATGTGGTCCTGCTCTTTGCTGATGCGAACCTGAGAGAATGAGAAATTAAATCAGTCGGCAGAAAGGATTCACAGGTCAACAGGGCAGGAGAATCCGTCCGGCCTGCACCTTACGCAGGGGAACCCTATCAGACTAACGGCTAACGGTCACATGGTCACCCTGGAGATGGGAGCTTCCACTGTCATGTGTGAAACATTAGCGGCTGTTCGTCGGCTCTGACGTCGTCCTTAATTTGTTGCAGATCTGCTAGCATTGTTCCCGCCCAATCTCCGTTAGGCGCTTTAGGGTGAACACATTGTGGGAAAGGCACTATATAAAAATTAACCGAATTAAACCGAAGTTAGCTGACGACAAGCCAGGCCTCCGAGCAGGATCCCCAGCTGGGCTGTGCAGAGGTGGCTGGTTTTGGTGGGTGGGGGGACTTACGGTGATGTAGGAGCTGGAGAAGTGGGCCCAGCTGAAAAGGTCCACCAGGCGGTAGAGGCTGGCCAGTTTACAGCGAATCTGCTTCTCCCCCTTGGCCAGTGTGGAACACTCCACTCCGTACATGTCGTTGATGGGAGTGACCATCCCGAGGCCTGGGGGGGGGGGTGACAGGGGCAAGTAGAGAACTTGGGTTCAGGAAGGGTGACACCCCCAGCAAAATATGCACCTATGCACCCGGCCCGTAGCAGATCTCCCACACTATAGCCTTTAACTTTCCAGAACCATCTCCATATAATGGAGCCTTAACAGGCGAGTTATGTGGAGGGGGGGGGGGCTTTCTGCGAAGTGCTTAGCGATATGATCATGTGATCACAAGCGCCATGTACTTCTTGTCTGTCTGCTGATGTTACGTTTTATAGTATTTAAGCTGAGCTTCACAGGCCAGAGCGAGCCGGAGAATCAGCGGGCCGGCTGCACTGTTTATGTGTCGTTTAAATAAGAGTCATGTGCTACGACAGTATGACGCAGGATTTCACAGTGGGGGGGGGGGGGGACCATCTGGGAGCATTTTACCCCGAAGACCCCCTGCTTCACTGAAACGGGGCTCACAGAAGTGCAAGCAAACGACCAAAGAGCAATAAGTACAGACGAAACACTCAGACGGGACGTCAGACCAACCGGCGAGTCCCACAGAGACCCGGCAGCCTGATTCCAGAGACAGACCCAAAATATGAAGCAGTTAAGAAATCATATTCCTCATGCCGATGTCATGATGGGAAGGGCTGACACCGCAAAACGTGAAAAAGGTGCTTCCCCGTGCGTGCCGGGGGTGCAGATAGGCGAAGGCGGCGGTGCTCACTGAGGGGGGAGGTGGAGAAGCCAGCCACAGAGCTCGCCATGAAGAAGTCGGCGATCTGTCGCAGGGCCAGTAGCCCCGTGGGGTTGTTCCCCTTCTTCATCTGTTCCTGGATCAGTCCTTCCAGCTCATCCTTAAAGGCCTGGTAAACCAAACAGAGAGAGAGAGAGAGCCAAGCAGGCTCATGAATACAGCCTTCAGATGGCCTTTGGGTGAGTCCATCTGATTGGTCAGCCTGCAGAACTGTTCTAATTGGTCTTGGCGTGCTCAGCACCTGATTGGCCGGGCTACAGAGTCTCAGTGTCAGATGGGATAAATCCTCGTCCAGGTCTTCTGGCAGCAGATTAGGACGCCCGAGAGCCGTTATGAGATCTGACAGCCTCTATTTGCACTGTGACAGACTTCAGGAGACTCAAGGACTCAAATTTAACGACCTGAGACAGAACCCCGACCATGTCGACTCATTAGGAATGTAGGACTTTGGCTAAAAGGAGATTCAATAAAACCCACTCAGGTCAATTAAATTCAACGGACTAAAATTCAGTAGATGACACTTAATACCAACAAAATTCACACTGAACCTGGATAAAGGAACAGGATAAAGTGGAACAGGAAAACTAAAGTGTCCATATTTCCAAGTAAGAGTTAAACATCTCATCATGTACAAGTGCACAGGAGAAATGGGTAAATTGGAACAGGAAGTGGGCGGAGCCTTTAAAGGACACCCTCTGAACTGGGATAACACCAGTCGGGCAGCTGGCCGAGACTTCCAGCATCTCTGACCCCTTCGGAAGGCCATGGCATGAGAATGTAGGGATTTCTCCGCTTTTCCTGTTCCCACAGCGACCCGTCCATGCCGCAGAAGGCCGGGCGTCACCGTGGAAACCTCCGACCGTTCTGGAACCGCAAGGGCACCGGACCCCGCGGCCGCTGGCACAGATCGTCACGCGGCGCCATCGCGCTGGCACCGCTGGGCTGGTCGCCATGGTGAACGCAATGAAGCAGACAAGAAACAACCATTCGATCTCAGGATGTCAAGGAAGCACAATCCCGCTGTTGTGGCTTTGAGCAAAGGGCACCTGGCCTAAAACTCGCCAGAAAAACATTCGTGGGGGGGGCAGGTTCATTTTCTCAGCTGCTTTGAATCACCGCGTCAAGCCGGGCAACGAAAACAGGATTAGCTACGGCCCATTACGGAAATACGGAGTTTTCATTTTTAATAACACAGCTGACGGACACAGGAAGTTGAAGGAGGGTCTCGAAACAAAAAATGACCCAGGAGGTCATGATCCATCGGGCCAGAGCTGCTCCTGCAAAAACATATTTATAGCAAAGACTTGAAGTCATCCTACGGGGAGGGGCAGGGGGGTGGGGTCAATTGTGCACAAAGAGAAAAGGCTCAGAGCGGCACCCGGAACGCGGGGGGAGGAGGTGCGGAACAGCCAGAGGCTCGCAGGCTTGCACAATACCGACACGAGTCAGTCATTTCCCAGCACTGCCGGAGCGTGACTTGCGCATAAACCGGTGAGGCGACAGCCAGAGACCAACTCGGCCAAATAAAGGCGCCCGAGTGACAGAGCCGCAATATGCAGCGGCCATGGAGACAGGCGACTTTATAGGACTGCAAACTCTATTTTTCTGCCGTTTGACTCAGGCCACGCCCCTCCCCTGTGACATCGGAGGGAGCGGGTGGGAAACACTTGGCCCCCGTCAGGGGGGGGAGTCTTTACTTCCAGCCCGTTCAAGCTGAAAGGGGGTGGAGGGTGCTGTGGGCTGAAGTCCCAGCCCCCCCCCCCAAGGCCGTACTGCAAAAACAGGAGCCAAGTTTCTGCTCCCAGCGTCCTGTGGTACACAGTATTAATTTGGACTTTGGGGGAGGAGGGGTACTGTAAATGCCCTTCCGACGGAACGCTGTAAATCCGGTGCCCCCCCCCTCCGCACAATGACCCTGGCCAAACCCCAGAGGATCCAATTTCTGCTGAGCTCCTTACCCAGTACCCCGCTTGACCCGGCACTGCATGCCAAGCTGCCCCCACTGCTGACCACTGCAAGCAGGTCCGGATGGCTAAAGGGCCGAGCTGGGACTCTGCGGGGACTCTGGGCGACTGCCGGGCCCCCACTGCTGACTCCTCACGCCAGATCAGATTCGTCATGTGTTTTCAAGATTTTCTTATTAATCTGAAATAGGATTCATAATTCAAGTCCATCGAGAGCGTGGCGGGGACGCGAGAGTCCATCGAGAGCGTGGCGGGGACGCGAGAGTCCATCGAGAGCGTGGCGGGGACGCGAGAGTCCATCGAGAGCGTGGCGGGGACGCGGGCGCGAGAGCTCATCTGTCCATCTCTAGCAGGTATTGACATGTCCAGCCAGTTGGCGTCGCATTAATTACCACCTCGGGGGAAACTAGCTGAACAGACAGCAATCGAGGTCAGTCCGTTTCCCCATTCACCAGCACTCTCACTGCCCTGCAAGGACAGTGAAGCAGAGGACAGTGAAGCAGAGGACAGTGAAGCAGAGGACAGTGAAGCAGAGGACAGTGAAGCAGAGGACAGTGAAGCAGAGGACAGTGAAGCAGCCACGGCTGCGAGTCCTGCTTCAGGTGTCGAGGACAGACGGCTCTGTGAGGAGCGACACTCGTGCTGGGCCGGGTGGCACGTCCCAGTCAGGTTGCAGACTGACACAAACAGGCACCGGAGACAAAATTACACACCATAGAGCGAGATTTTAGACCTAGCAGTCACCATTAAAGAACAGATACTGAACCATACTCACAGTCTTTAATAAACCTCTGTATTAAACACCTGCACGTGCACCTCTGTAGCTAAAGGCTCATTTTAATTCGCAATACACATCCGCAAAATTAAAGCCGTCTCAGTGATAATAACACCCCTTAAATGATTGAGGAACACCTTCCAAATCGTAGTGCCGCCCGAGGCAATCGGAGAGACGTCATCGTGGGAGGATCGGCGTGCCGTAAACACACGCAGGCCTGCAGCCGGCCCATTGTTGGCCCTTTAATGCGGTGGCTGCACGTGCTCAGGGCCTGCGGCGTGTGCCCCAACGCCGCACAGAACACAAACACGACAATGGCGCATCTGTGTCGATGACAATGCCAGTGGCGACCGGACTGGAAAAAAACAAACACAAAAAAGGGGGTGGCAGCACCTCTGAGTAGGAGGAACTCCCTGCAGAGGAACCGAGAGGAACTGAAACTCCCCGGGCAGCTTGGGGAAAGGGTGGAGGACCCAGGCTTTGGACCAGCACAGAGAGAGAGAGAGAGAGAGAGAGAGACGGACAGGCAGAGCGCTGACATGTTTACAGGACATTTTTGCCCACCTCTTTTCTTGCGAGTTACTTTTGCAATTGAGACTCCTCTGACTGATCAGCGAATCATCCGGCAGCAAATCACAGGCACGGTGCTGAATCAGGATCAGATAATCGATGCCGTTATTTACAGGCAGATCTTAAGCTGTGTGGGTGTTTGTTTATTTTTGTAAATAAAAATGTTCCCTGACACAAAGCCGCATGTCGCAGACGATGCAGTTTGCCCCCGAATACCCGAGTCTCTGTACGCACGCACTGGAGATTAAAAATACATCTGCATATTTTTCCTTATATTTAAGATGGCTTCTTCTACACTCAGCAGGAAGCATAAATAATCGGGACCTTTCAGCAGCGCAATCCGATCGCAGCGTCATTCGCTGGCGCGGTAAATCACAGCGGGTGTGATGGTGTGGGTTAGCGACTCCGCCGCACCCAAACCACCGCTGAGATTTCTGACCTCAGCAGCTCGTGATCTTACACCGCCCCCCGCCCCCCCCACCCACCCCTGGGGACATGCCAAAATTTGCAAGAAATTCACAGACCCCCCCCCCCCCACCCATGAGTATCATGCCTTGGTCATGCTCTGCGTGCAAATGTGATCTGAGCATGTCCGAGGTGTCTGGAGCAGAGTGCGACTGCACGCCTCTGGTAAATACAGGCACTTTTGGGGGAAACATCTCCGAGCGGTAATCAGAGACCGAGGGGTCGCAGGGTGTGACACGGCCCGCTCTGCCGGGGTTGGTCAGGTGCTGGCATTGAGGATGCATTCTTTTAATGCGCCATTGTGGTAAATTAGGAAGCCTCCATTTCCCAGGAAGGTGTGACCACCTGACGTACTGGACAGCTGGGCGGGGGGGAATGGAAACGATCTGAATCTGGATCAGATTCTGCAAGCAAGATGTGTCTGGCAGTTTACTGGCAGGACTCGACCCAAACACAGACAGTACATAGAAAATAAACACAAACAAGGAGCAGCAGGGGAATCATGGGAGAATATACAGCTATTCCAACCACGGTGGGCGGGAATAAAGCAGTCTGCCAATCAGACTGGGTTAACATGCTTCCTATTCCTTATTTGTTGTAGTTTAAAGTGTTAAGATTTGGCATTGTAATATTTCAAAATCTACGTAAATGCTAAAGTGAATCATTTGTTTTTAGCATACCAGCATACCAATGTGGCTTTTAAACCCTCCTGTATCAACCATGGCTCTAGTTATATTTTGGGCGGGAAAAAAAAACAGGAGTTTGGCTCATTACCCCCGTTAGTGTCGTAACAACTGAATCAAAGAGCTTCGGCCAATGAGCTCCTGGCTGAAGAATCTCCAGAAATGCATCAAACGAGTAAATAAAGGCTTGAAATGGCTAATGCGGGTGGAGAGGACTTGTGTTTCATTCAGGACTAAGCGTGAAGCTTGAGGTGACAGAGGGGGGCAGACCCACCGGGCTCTGCAGGATCTGCGTGACCCTTTTCTTCTGCTCCATCATGTTGAAGTCCTGCCGCAGGTCCGGGGACATGTTGCGGGAGCGAAGGTACTCAGGGTCACTCTCGTTGACACGGTCGAAGTAGCGCTCCTTGTGGGCAGTGGCGCCGGGTGGCGGGGGGGTCGTCACCACCCCCTGGCTAGCAGCTGTGCTCATGCTTCGTCTGTCAGTCCTGGAAGCCGCTCGTCACCTGCAAAAACACGGGGAGGGGGGCACGGTGTCAAACAGCAGCCCTGCGGCACTCAACCGAAAAACAGGCGGGGCAGATGTACAGCATGGACTGGGGGGGCGGGGCCCATCAAGATAAAGCTCACACCCTGCCAGACAAACAGGAAGCAGGCGGCCATCGAGGGCCCCCACCCCCCTCAGGGGGGCCATCGATTTGATAGCCAGATGCTAACATGACACTTTCCAGGTCCTCTGGGGTGGTGGCCTTTTATCTGTGCATTTAGGTTTCGAGAAAGAGTCTCTCTGTGACCCCCCCCTCCCCCCTCACAAGGGCACAAAAAAAAGCTTATTCAATAGCCATTAAATTAAAGCAAAAAATAAATTAAATAAAATGAAATATTTCTCCCTCAGATTCCTCCATGTCAGGCCGGAAGAACCTCACTCCGGACCCAGATGTCACATTAAAAAGGCGGCATTACACAAGGCCGACCTGATGACTGAGAAGTCGTCTCCCAGTAACACCCAACTGTCAGACCCTCTCTGTTCGTTTGCCAGCTGAAGAGGGGGCGGTTGAAGTACACCCCCCCCCCTCCCCCAGTCCCCTCACGGTCTCCTTTTATCCTGTGGGAACTTAAACTGGAATTTTTGCCCTCTGTTATGGAGTCAGTGCCCAAGATGACAGTAGAAATTCAGCCCGAAACCCTCTCTTCCCGGGGCCGCTGTAAAGGTCCCGGTTCTGCAGGTTATGCCTCAGCTGTACCACTGCGCTAAAAGCAGCAGCACTCGCCAGATGGGGAAGAAAATGGAGGGAAAAAGAACCTTTTCAGTTTCCTCGCATGAAAGCAGCGGCTTTTCTTTCAACAGCCCGTGTTTTGCTTTCTAACCCAGAACTAGGAGGAAGTTTTAGTGCCTCACTGTGCGTCATCGTTCTTCTCTTTCGGCTCAAAAGATCCCCCCTCCCACGCAGAACGGTCTTCCTCGCAGCTGAGAGACCGATGGCCTGACGGGGGGCTAGAGCCGTTATGTAGGAGCGTAATTTACAACGAAGAAGGGGAGAGCGGCCAAGGCGGGGGCTCTCTGAGTCTGAGATCTTTACAGACAGAGCACTGGATCTTCCTGGCGAATTGTTATTGTTGCCTGCACAGAACTTTCAATGCAACTAGCATGTAACCCCTTGCATCCAGCCCCCCCATTTCACACTGTCCTGCACCGCGAGATCCTCCCCTTGTTGCTTGCGGTTCGTTATGTTGCACCGCGGTCCTGAGGAAACGTTATCTTGAGTTTATGGATGGTATGACAATAAAGCCCACTTGATTTTACTTGATGGTGAGCTAGAGACCTAAATAACCCCCCCCCCCCAAAAAAAAAAACAGAAGAAGATCAACACCCTTTCCCTGCCTCGAGATCCTAGACTTGCCTGCCCAGTTGTCTCTGCAACCTTGAAAGAAACGTACAGGGTTCTGATGACAGGGTGGATGAGAGACCGTTTAGCAGCACGGACAACAGTCCGAAAGCCACGCCTTGCTCACCCAGCATCCGGGAGATTCCCAATTCATCCAGAAAAGCCCAACAAAACAAATACAAACAAACAATCTATTGAAAACTTTGCCCTCAACCACCACCAACGGCCATTAGTGCAAGCGTGTTGTAAAGCACGGTCAGAATAGTACACGTCCATTTTTTTTTTTTTTTTTTTAAAGTTTACTGTGGCATCCTTGCTTGGTGCCAAGGGTGTGCCCCTAACATCTATGCCACCGAAACTGGCGGAAATGTGTCACACAGCACAACTATGAAAACGGACAACTTTGTCTGGGCCACGTTTCAGCTACACGTCTCCAATACTCCAGGAAACCAGAAACGCTTTGGTTAACGTGATGAATCATATCTCTCAGTGTGCAATCAACAAACAGACTCCTGTAGCAAAGGAGAGCTTAACCTGATGTAACGCAGATAGCCAGCAAATATATTTAGAAGAATTTTGATGGGCCGACTTGATAAAATATACGAGCGCCATCTGTGATCGAACAGCAGGACCCTCCGCATAGTGACGGTATCAGGCGTGATGAAGATGACCCCCTCACTCAGACCCATCCGCTGCCTATTTCTAGAGGGATCCGAGCATGCGGAGGGACCAGAGAGCGACCAAACAGAGGACCCCAGTGTATTGCAAGTCACAAGATCTTGATTGCATGTCAGTTTAATCAATGGCTTATTGTGAATGGGCGCTCATGGGTTCGCTCATTGACTCCTCTGCGGCCAAGCGCACCAGCCCAACCCGAGAATCACGGCCAGACTACAAGGCAGGCGGGACGCAGCCTCAGGCAAGGAGGCCAGGGCTTCTCAGGTTCGCTACGGAGTGACGTCGCCAGTCGGCCACATTCTGATAACGAGATCACATTACTGGATAACCGGAGGGCGGGAAACATGCCTGGAAAACGTGGGGGGTGGGGGGCCCAATTAAAGCCCTTTCTTTGGTTTCATCATTATTTTCAAACGTAACCTCTCCTGTTCTCGCGGTTCCGCTTCGATTACCTCAAGGAAACAGCCTTTTCTTAGCCGCTAACCCTATAATTAGTACGGAGCAGTTTTTAGGTCAGGTTTCAAACCGAATGTAACAATACCAGGAAAGAATCCATTCTAATTTTAGTGGAACGTGGAGACCAAAGAACCCAAAGACGCTATTGGTGGGGGCTTCACGCGGCTCCGATGGATTAATGCTCATGCACTACAGCCTGAAAATGCTTCGAGGCACAGGGGAGGGGCCGGAACCGCGCTGCAATCTGCAGAAACGTTTTGATGATGAAATTCTGCAAGCGCTTAAATTAAGAGGCGTGGCGTGGTCACTCGGCAGGGTTGCGGAATGGCACGGCGGTCAGAATGAGATGCCCGTTTAGCCATGAGGGAAACGGCATTTGCCTGAGAGACAGTTTTGTCCGTCCGTCTGCTCAGTATCCCTTTGAGCAAAAACACAAAATACTGCTTCTGGGGAAACACACCCGCTACACTGAAAATCATGACTCCTCAAAAAGCATGGAGTAGCGCACTCAGGCGATCCTAAGCAGGTTCTTTCACTGTGGGGGGGGGAGAGGGTGGAGATACTAGCGCCGACTATAAAACAGAAAGTATTACAGACTGCTTTGGCGAAGAACAGAGACATCATTGTGTGCTCCTCTCAAACAGAGAGAAAAAAGGCACAAAGTCCCTAACAAATACATGACAAGGCTGCTAGACATCAACCAGACAACATGGCACAAAGCCGCAGAACAGAGCCATTCCAACCTGAACACTCTAACAGTTCATTTAACTTTGGCAGCGGTTTGCACACCTGTTTTGCCGTTTCTTTGGCGTCTCTCATTGGGCAGCAGGGTATCCTGGGAAAAGCAGCATGACGCCGTCCTCACCAGCGCAAAACTAGCTCCAGATCGGGAAAGAGGGAAGCGGCAAACCAGTTCATTCACTCGCCCTTGCGGTACATCCTATTTGTGTGGCGGGAGTGTGCCTCCTGGGTAACGCGATTCCACAGCGGCGCACTCTGTTGTTGCTCTGCTCCCAGGGCAAAGGATTTCAACAGCTGCGCTTGTGTGCGTGTGTGTGCGCGCCCGCGTGTGTGTGTGTGTGTGTGTGTGTGTGTGTGTGGGGGAGTGTTTGTGTGAAAAGCGGCTGAGGGACCATGTGACTCCTCTAATCCGCCCACTGCTGAGTGCACATTGTTGTCTGGCCAATTGAATCGCAGGCTTACTCCAAAGCCCCGCCGCCCCTTTAGAGTAGAGGTCAAAGGTCAGCACTTCTGACGTCAAACCCCATATAAACTTGCCAACTTCCCACCCAGCCCACAAAAACTTATATTACGTACATCACTTTTTAAACGTGTATTTAACCAACAAACAAACAAAGCTCAATTAAAACAGATAAAAATCAACTCTATCATGAGGCTGCTGGCAAGTTTCCCTTCTCTCTGCTCTCCTGCGATTCCCGTCTCTCCTCGCCCGCCTTGCGTCCATCAGGATCTCTGAAGGCATCGCAGCAGCTGGATTTTACTTCAGCGGCCCAGACAAAGGCAGGAAGGAGGGACCAGCGAAGGAGCCTGAACCGTACACAGAAGCACACTGCCTGGAGTAATCAGACACTGAGGTGCCTCCTGACGACTGATCACACACACACACACACACACACAGACACACAAACACACACACACACACACACACACACAGAGAAACACACACACACACACAGAAACACACACACAGACACACAAACAGACAAACAAACACACACACAGACACACAAACAGACAAACAAACACACAAACACACAAACAAACACAAACACACACAAACAGACAAATACACACAGACACACAAACAGACAAACAAACACAGACACACACACACAGACACACACAAACAAACACAGACACACACAAACAAACACAGACACACACAAACAGACAAACACACACACACACACACACACACACGGCTTTTAAGAAGGTGACAGTGGAATTAGTGCCATTAACAGAATGACAAGAAAATGCTGAGAGACAGTGACAGTAAGACACTTATTAGATAAAAGGATTTAGACATACAAATGAAACCACGTTTCACAGATCACACGGGTTTATTTGACTGATGCGTTACATAGTTGAATAACATCCTTCAGCTGCGCCTTGCATTTTATTACAGAATTGTGCAAATGAAAGGACTGTTGATACACCCCCCCCCCACCCCTGCATTTTAACCTTTAAACTTTAAGTGAGCGCTTTGTGCACAGCTGAGCTCCGTGATTGAGCTTCAGGCCAACGTGCTCACTCAGGATTCACAGCACGTGGGCTTTAAATGTCGGCCATGACAAACATACCGCAATGACATGGGGGGAAAAAAGGCCAGAGAGGTGCATTGTGGGTAAAGTGAGGAGGGCCAGGCGCGGTGTATCAGGGACAATTATTAGGGTCTCTGTCTGGTATGCGAGCCAGCAGGAAGGGGACGGCTCTGTCAATATTTAACCCGGCGCGGTCCACCGCCCTCCTCGGCCGTTTAGCAGGCGTATTATGCTGGGATACCGTGGTCTGCTTCGGAAACTTATCTTTTACGAGATCGGGGGAAGCTGGGAGCGATGGGGCTTGGCAGGATGTGATTCGCGCCTCAGGAGAAGTGGACAGACCTAAAAGTGGGACTGTCAGCGGCGGGCGGGATAAGACTCCCAAGGCCTCCCCCAGGCTGGGGTTTGGAGAACAGCTTGAATCTGTAGCAGACCTGATGGAGAATTACCACAGGCTGTCATGTGGCTCTTTGCTACTCGGACAAAAGACAATTTATAGTGGACAAGCCATAGTTGTTTGGGGGAGGGGGCCTGTCTCAGAATATTCCACTTCTAACAGCGATCGACACCTTCGGGCTACTGCAGTCCAGGATGCTAAAAACTGGCCTGGTCTGTCCACCTGAAATGCTGTGATCACCACGTCTCACAGTCATGTTATGTTTACCCTACCAAAGGTCGACTCCCCGCTTCCTGGTTTGTGTGTCATGCTGGTGCTTACAGGATATGCCACACACCAACAATCTGTGACAAACAAGTTGCTGGAAGACCAATGATAGCTCATTCTGTTAGCGGGCTATCCCAGCCAGTTAGCCCCTTTGAAATGTCCAGATTCTACCACCATGGGGTCACTCGTTACTCTCTTTCCAAGCTTTCCAAACACCAAACAGCACGGGATTCAGTTCGACGACGTTCAAAAAACATGCCTTGTAAACGTGAGGAAGAAGCACCTGCAATCTGGAGAGGCGCACGTTACTCCAGCGCCACCCAGAGCCTGGGTACGGAATAGCATCTCGCTGAGTGGAAGCAAGCAATGATTTGCCCAATCAATCAATTCCTCTTATAACAAGTCCTAGACGTCCTCTGGAAAAGGAGAAAACTGCTCCCAAAGGGGAGGCAATCATAAGGCGAGACACTTGAAACCTGGATGGCTCCCAAGAAATTTGGGGAAAATAAAAATGAAAGAGCACAGATTTTTCAGATATGAAGAGTTGGCCACACCCGACGCCTGGTTCCCCAGTAATAATAACCATCCCCAGGGCCCCACACAAGCCCATTGCTTCACAAGGTAATTTTGTTATCATGCTGTTGACTGCCATTTTTCACATGTGCCATGTTCACAGTTATGACGAGGAGAGGGGAGAAAAATGTAAGTTCGCAAACCTGAGCTTGGTAATTCATAGCCTCCAGAGATTCAAGATCTACGACGCCTTTTCCTTCCAATTTTCACGTTGACGTCAGTTATCCAGGCTGCAAAATTTGTGATTAATATTTGATTTTGATGGATTACTCATTACTTGCACTCAGTACTGCAAAAAAGATATTCAAGCGAGGAAATAAATCTTATAGAATGAAAACCAAAATGTAGAGGTGTTGAGATCTTTATTTCTAACGTCACAAACACACCCATGTCTTAAGATTTCAGGCTTCAAAACATTACTGTTTTCACTTTCAAGTTCACGTCTGCATCAAACAATGAGTCGCTGTGGCAACAGTGATAACCAGTGACTCGTGAGCTGGATTCCTGCCATCGCTTTAACCGAAACGTCTCGCATAGCGGGATGGTGTTACCCAACGCGTCCGTCTGCCTCTACACAGGTTTAAATCCAGCTGCACCAATGGACACCATTACAAATTCGGGCCTTTGCCCAAAGCAACACTCACCACTGCAGGGCCCATAGAAAGACATGGATCTTTCAGCAGGTGTTTATCATTAAGCCTGAGATATTCTCCTTACTCTTTAAACTCTCAACATCGCAGAGACTGTAGTTATAAACACACACACACACACACACACACACACACACACACAC